AAATGGCTGTCCAGTCTCTTCTTAAAAACATCCAATGTTGGAGCATTCACAGATTCTGGAGGCAGGTTGATCCACTGATTAATTGTTCTAACTGTCAGGAAATTTCTCCTTAGTTCTAGATTGCTTCTCTCTTTGGTTAGTTTCTATCCATTGCTTCTTGTCTTGCTTTCAGATGCTTTGGAGAATAGCTTGACTCCTTCTTCTTTGTGGCAACTCCTGAGATATTGACTCCTTCTTCTTTGTGGCTACCCCTGAGATATGTCACCCTTCATCCTTCTCTTCATTAAACCAGACATACCCAATTCCAGCAACCGTTCCTTATATGTTTTAGCCTCCAGTCCCCTAATCATCTTTGTTTCTCTTCTCTGTACTCTTTCTAGAGTCTCAACATCTTTTTTACATTGTGGTGACCAAAACTGGATGCAGTATTCCAAGTGTGGCCTTACCAAGGCATTGTAAAGTGGTATTAACACTTCACGTGATCTTGATTCTATCCCTCTGTTAATGCAGCCTAGCACTGTGTTGGCTTTTTTGGCAGCTGCAGCACACTGCTAGCTCATATTTAAGTGATTGTCCACTAGGACTCTGAGATCCCTCTCACACTTCCTACTATTGAGCAAGGTACCACCTATACTATACTTGTGCATTTGGTTTTTCTTGCCTAAATGTAGAACCTTACTTTTTTCACCATTGAATTTCATTTTATTTGATAGCGCCCAATGTTCAAGTCTGTCAAGATCCTCCTGTATTTTAAGCCTATCTTCTGGAGTGTTAGCTATTACTGCCAGCTATTCCTGCAAATTTGATGAGTTCCCCATCTATCCCCTCATCCAAATAATTGATGAAGATGTTGAAGAGCATTGGGCCCAGAACAGAGCCTGGGGCACCCCACTACACACTTCCCTCCATGTTGATGCAGTTCCATTGAGGACCACATGCTGAGTACAGCCAGTTAGCCAGCTACGAATCCATCTGGTGGTGATGCTGTCTAACCCCTATCTTATCAAGTAGTAGGTTGTGATCTACTTTATCAAATGCCTTACTGAAGTCCAAATAAATTATATCCACAGCATTCCTCTGGTCCACTAATTTTGTCACTTGGTCAAAGAATGCAATAAGTTTTGTCTGGCATGATCTGTTTTTGTTGCCCAGTTTTGTTGTCCAGTTAACTCTGAAATTAATCACTTAGAGATGCAAAAGGGCAAAACAAGAAAAGAGGCATTTGTTATTTCTTATTTGGTATCATAAATATGTAGGAACCCTCCTATGTGAATGAATGGAAAGCCATGTTTTGAAAAAGGGTGGATTTGTGATTGAGGTATTGTTGACATTTTGAAACCTACCAAAGAGCAGCAAGATGAAATCTAGTTCTTATAAAATAATTGTGTATACATGAGTATGTGCATCCCTTAGAACAGCAGTTCCCAACCCCCAGTCCATGGACCAGCCCCGGTCTGTGGCATGCCAGAAACCGGTCTTTGCAAACAAATGAAGCCCCATCAATGGGATGCAGACGGCATGCAAAACAACGCCCCCTCTGGCTTGCAGTAAAAACTCTCCATTGAACTGGTCCCTGGTGCCCAAAGGGTTGGGGACCACTGCCTTAGAGTAATGAAAACCAGTTTCAGATATGGAGACACTGGACCTTGATAGTGGTGAGTTTCTCATTTTTCACTTTATAGTCCACTTTAAATTTTCCTTCACTCTGGTCTTAACTTATATGTGGTAGAGAGAGAGAGATGACTTTTCTGTGCTGTCCAGTTGTATGTACCCCATGCATAAAAGCCAAAACAATGATCTCTGAAAGGCTGAAAGGCTCTTCTGATAAAAGATTCTGATGCTCCCTGCCAGCTTCCCAAAGGAAACTCAATGGGGAAGCCAATAGGAAGTTGGAAGTAATTCACACTTGCACTGCTTTTTTGCCTGCCTGTGGTCATTCTGTTTCTCTATTTAGGTAAGAAAATATCTCTAGAGTGACCCAACCAGACATGTGTTGTATAGGGTTGTTTTTTTCCTATTTATCAAATCTGTCTTTAATTCACTGCATACTTGCATGAAATAATGTGGAGACTGTTAGCTTTGTGATATTATTTGTTTTTCTTAGATTGGAATTTTTTTGCAAGAAATCATGATCTAAGCTGCAATTAGCACCAGGTCTTGCTTTTGTTGACAGAGTAGAAGTCCAATTTTACTTGAAAACTATTTACAATCAATTTGATTTTGGTATTGTTTCCATGGCAGTGTCCATGTATTACACTTGTTGTTTAGGTTGTTGGAAAAAGATACTGCTACTAATATCAAATTATCCTGGCAGGACTATGTCACCTACTTAATTTTCTATATCAAGCCTTCATTTTCTCATTATTCCAGATGCTATTTTCCTTCCAACTTTAGCATTCTAGTCATCTATGATAAGTATGATATCATTTTTGAATTTTGTATCCAGAAGGTATTGTCACAGGAGAACTGCTTGCAGGTTGTAAGCTTTGGCTGAAGAGAATCTCATGCCATTTAAGCACCCTTTGTTCCTACCTTCCACTTCATATGTTCCAAATCCATATGGCACAATTCTACTACAGTCATATACAGTGGTGCTTAAAAGTTGGCAATTCCTTTTGGATTTTCAGTATATCTACAGAAAAACAAAACAAGATTGTTTTTCAGTAGTCCTAAAATTAAATAAAAAGAACTCAAGTGGCAAATGAATAAAAAACATATTTGTACATTGATTTATTGAGGAAAATGATCCAAAGCTACATATTTCACAAACTGTAGACAGGTAGTAATGTTTTTTTTTAAAGAGTAGTTGTTTTCTCCTTACAGTTCAATGTTCTCGTGATGGTGGTCTCATGAAAACTGTTGCCAATGCCTTAGTTCCTTAGATGTTGTCCTGAAGTTATTTGAGATCCCTTGGAATATTACACACTTTGTAATTGATATTATTTTAATTGGTCAACCACTCCAACTAAGGAGTGGTAATAATACCCTAAGGGGGGGTAGTAATGATGCTGAATTGCTTCCCTTTGTTCATGATCTGCCAGACATTGGACTTACGGAATCTAAACTCCTTGGATATAATTTTCTATTTTTTCCAGTCTGGTGAGCATAACCAATATTTTTTTTGGAGGTTTTCAGAAATCTCCCTTGCCTTTTGCTTCCCTTCTTTCCTCAGCTATTTGCAAAGCTTCCTCAGAGAGCCATTTTGCTTTCTTGCATTTCTTTTTCTTTGGGATGGTTTTAGTTGCTACCTCTTGTACAATGTTGCGAATCTCTGTCCATAGTTCTTCAGGCATTCTATCTATCAGATCTAATTCCTTAAATCTATTTGTCACCTCTACTGTATATTCATCAGGGATATGATTTAGTTCATACCTGAGTGGCCTAGTGATTTTCCCTACTTTCTTCAATTTAAGCCTAAATTTTGCAACGAGAAACTCATGATCTGAGCCATGACCAGCTGACCAGCTCCTGGTCTTGTTTTTATTGACTGTATAGAGCTTCTCCATCTTTGGCTACAGAGCACATGGTCAATCTGATTTCTGTGTTGACCATCTGGTGATGTCCATGTGTAGAGCCATCTCTTGGGTTGTTGGAAAAGAGTGTTTGCTATGACCATCATATTCTCTTGATAAACTTCTATCAGCCTGTGCCCTGCTTCATTTTGTACTCCAAGGCTAAACTTGCCTGTTATTCCGGTTATCTTTTGGCTTCCTACTTTAGCATTCCAATCCCCCATGATGATAAGGACATCATTTTTTGGTGTTGATTCTATAAGATGCTGTAGGGCTTCATAGAACCGGTCAATTTCATCCTCTTCAGCACCAGTGGTTGGGGCATAGACTTGGACTACTGTGATATTGAATGGTTTGCCTTGGATTTGCACTGAGATCATTCTGTCATTTGGGGGATTGTATCCCAGTATTGCTTTTCCTACTCTTTTATTGATTATGAAGGCTACTCCATTTCTTCTGAGAGATTCTTGCCCGCAGTAGTATACCTGATGGTCTTCTGAATTAAATTCACCTATTCCTGTCCATTTTAGTTCGCTGATTCCTAAGATGTCGATGTTCAGTCTTGTCATCTCTTGTTTGACCATATCTAGCTTGCTTTGATTCATGGATCTTACATTCCAGGTTCCTACGGAGAAAAGATCTTTACAGCATCGGACTTTCCTTTCATCACCAGATGCATCCACAGCTGAGCGTCCTTTCGGCTTTGGCCCAGTCGCTTCACTCTTTCTGGCACTACTAGTACTAGCCCTCTGCTCTTCCCCAGTAGCATATTGGACACCTTCCGACCTGAGGGGCTCATCTTCCAGCGTCATATCTTTTTGCCTTTTGNGGGTTTTCATGGCAAAGATACTGGAGTGGGTTGCCATTTCCTTCTCCAGTGGATCACATTTTGTCAGAACTCTCTGTTATGACCTGTCCATCTTGGGTGGCCCTGCACGGCATAGCTCATAGCTTCATTGAGTTGCACAAGTCCCTTCGCCATGACAAGGCAGTAATCCATGAGGAGTACAGTAAATACAGTACAGTAAATACACAGAATTCTGTTCTTTAAATAAGGCAGGACTTCCCATACTTGCATCTGATTATCATCCTTGATTGAAACACCTGATTCTAAATTTTCCTTCAAATGAACTGATAATTCTAGAAGTACACATACATTTGCCACAAATATGTAGTTTTTCATCATTTTCCTCAGTGGTAGGCATTTCTGATAGGAGAATTGGGCAATGCAAAGGTCATATGTGGTCTTCCTTGTCATTCCACTTTTTATCTAAAGGAGAAACAATCCTTTATAAGATCTTCCGAGATACCAGTGCCAATATAAATATAAATAAACTTACATTAGGTATGTAAATTACTTTGAAAAGCAAAATATTAAACCTTGTATATTATGCATGTTACTGTCAATACTAGGAAACATTCTAGGAAAAGTCTGGGCTGACTTTGTAATGTCTCTGTGATTTTCAGAGTACCTAAAAAGCAGTCAAGATGACTTGGAACCTTTTCAAAAAAAACCCCAAACCTGAACCCATAATAGCAGTTACTACAGGTGGTCCAATACCTCCTACCGCTACAGTGGCACCAGCAGTCTCCCAGGAAAATGCAACGCAGATCTCAGGCCCAGTGGAGAGTACGGAGGACACTTTTGCAAAATTTAAAGAAAAGTTTATGAATGAAATAAATAGAATACCTTGTAAGTAACATGATCTTATTTTGGATGTATCTGGTATCAATATAGTTCTGGGTCTAATTATTCTACCCTTGCCTTTTCTAATATTTTGCATATGTGTATAATGCAAAAGTTAGATGCCCACTTCCCCTTCTTCCCCTTTTATTATCAGTTGCAAGAAATATAATTATTTATTGGATTAAAGAGACCAAACTACTTAAGGATCTTTCTTGAGAAAAGTAGAAGATGGCCTGAAATACTTTTTTTTTCATTTTAGTGAAAAGAGACAGAAAAAAAATGAGAAAGGACTTATTAGAAAGGCTATGTTAATCTAATGGTAATTTTAAGGTGAGGTAATGTAGAGTAATTTGTTGCAAACATATTGACTTAATATTTAACAAGTCACCTGAAGTGATGACTCTGTTTATAGAAAACCAAAGAAGGGAAGAAATGTTCTACATTGAGAAAAAGTTCTGCATTGGAAATAGATTATCCAAAGGATCTGCCATTTGAGGGGCGACATTCAGAAATGTTCTGAGTGTTCAGAATTACCTAATTTATATCCCTTCCCAACCTCAGTCCATGCAGCAGTGATGATGTACATTTTAGCAGAGATTGATTCTGTACTTAAATAATGACCCCAATTTACTTGGCTATTGTATTGTGTCTTTGCTTCTTTAAATGTGTTTTCAATAGTTGCTTTTAATGTTTTGATCTAAGTTGTGTAAGTGACCCTGAATTGGAAAATATAAAAAAAATACCATTAAAAAAATAAGTTAGGCACTGCAAAACATGAGGAGAAGCAATCTGCAAAGAGCCTGTCCCAGGTAGTTGAGGCAGCTTCATCCTCTGGAAGTCTCAGAGGAGTTGCTTCAGAATCTTCCTCTGCCACCTCTCCCCGCATTTGAAGTCACAGCCATGGGCAGAAATGGCTTGGGTCTGCACAAAGACTGCAAACTTTTCCTTAAAAGGATGTGCACAGCCTTAGAAATGACATTTGCTGGCTGTGCATATAATGTAAACCTCTAGCACTTCCTGCTACCCCTTTCCCCATGTTCTGCATTTAATTTCACAGTGCCGCCATGGGCCCTGATTGCCATTGCTGTCGTTGCTGGATTGTTGCTGCTGACCTGCTGCTTTTGCATCTGCAAGAAATGCTGTTGCAAGAAGAAGAAGAACAAGAAGGACAAAAAGGGGATGAAAAATGCTATGAACATGAAAGATATGAAAGGCCAGGTGAAAATATATCATTGGATGAAGACCAGTTGGGAAACTGCAGTTATTTAAGATATGGGGGGGGGGGGGACAGGCACTCATATTTCTGGTGGGCTTGCCTAGAGTGGCCATAAAGATTGCTCTGCCTTAGAAAATATACCAAACCAGAAATAAATTAGAACAGAAGAGATAGAAAAGTTTATCTATTGTAGTTTTAGTAATCAATGATTACTCTTTAAAAAAAATCAGAACAGGTAGAAGATCAGGATATTATTTCAGGTTGAAGAATTCAGAAAATGAGAATGATAGGCATTGTTTCAGGTGACAAAATACATATTCTGACCTTTGCTCCCTCTTTTTTTCTGAGCATTTTTTTCATAAAACAGTTGCTTTTTTTCTGTATTTGATACCACAAAAGTCACTTTATTTTATTGTCCTATAATCTTACTTTACTACAGTATTATAGTTTAATTTTAGTATGGGTTTACTACAGTATTGCAATTGCATTTAATTTTACTTTATTATTTTATTTTAGCACAAAAATTTTATGTTGTTATTATTTTGGCAGTCAGTTTCTCCTATAAAGGCAAAAATAAGGATACATTTTCTTCCTTAGAAACCAGGGGCTTCTAATTCCATTTGTAATAAATATTTTAAAATATTTATTGTCAGAAACCTACAGTTCTCCATTGTATATATCAAACATTTCTTTATGTATTATTTATTTATAAATTTATAAAGTGTATTAATTATCTGAATTCCAAAAATACAGTAAGTGGTATACAAGTCTAAACGTAACACAGAATTAATATAAAGTACACATATTTTTCAAACATTTTTACAACTAACCAATTTATAAATTTTGGAAGCAATGGTGTTTTTTTTAATCTACTTCTTTTGCATATATTTTAATTTTTTTTAAATTAACCAAGGGTTTTTCTAGGGAAATAACTTTGTTTTTTTCTTTTGCCTCAGAATTTGTGAAAACATTACACTTCTTAGCATGTGAGAAAGCATAATAAAGAACTCAGTTCCTGCTATACAAAAATAACTTCTATGTAACCTAGGAATGCAATATTCAGTGTCTCCAGCTATTAGAGGAAATATAGAATATAGGGGTGTCAAACTGCCAGACCGTGGGCCGGATGCATCATGGCGAAACCGCGCCCACCCCATTGCCAGCAATGGGAAAAAAAGTCACTATACGTCGTGACATGTCACGTGACATTGCGAGTTTGACATCCCTGATATAGATTAAATACAGTAGTATTTGAAGTAGATCCTTTTGTGCTTTCAGTATCAAGCACTGTGATCTTGAGGCTATTCACAACAATTTAGCTTTCAGCCTGTTCGTGTTTTGGTTCCTCAACTACCCATGAGCCCCTTAACATTTCAGGCAAAGTTGAGGTGGGAAAGTTGGCCAACTCTAGTCTGATATCCTAAGGAATCAAGTCAGCAACAATGTAGGCCAAAAAAAAAAAGATGTACCAACACAAACTTTTCTAAAATAGGTTTTCATTTGGCAACAATCTTTAATAAGGAGAGTCAGAGTATCCATATCAAGAAAAGCATCAACATTCTGGCTACTGAATAGTGACTCTGTGGAAAATGTGGCGCTGTCAAGAGGATATTTTTATTAGAGAGTGACTGGGAATTCCCACAATTCAACACTTCTCAAAGAGCCATGTGGGAAAAGCTACACTACAGAAATCTGGGAGACAGTGTTCTCATAAAGACAAGATAGTCTCAGCTTTCTTTCTGCTGAAATTGAGATGGTTACAAACAATATAATTAGAGATGCCAGTTTGGTGTAATGGTTAAGGCACCAGGCTAGAAACTATCCCACCTTAGGCACAGCTAGCTGGGTGATCTTGGACCGGTCACTTTCTCTCAGCCTTAGGTAATGACAAACCACTTCTGAAATTCTTGCCAAGAAAAGTGCAGGGACTTGTCCAGGCAGTCTCCAAGAGTAAACATTGACTCAAAGGGACCAAAGAAAAGGACAGCATAATTAGGCACATCATTAGCTATATTCAGGCATTCAGAATTCCAGAACTCTCCACATTTTTGTAGATAATTGCCTATTAAGCATGATTGGCTGGAAGAGAAAAATAGTTGTGCATGCAATCTGTGGGTCTTTGCATCGATGTGAATAAAGACCCTGCCTGGCTCATGATGAAGCCAGTGGCAGAAACAGTTGAAAATGCAAAGGTATTTTGTGGCATATTTTTTCTCAACGTACAATATAAGTAGGAGACTAATATTTGTATGACACTGGCAGCAGCAGAGCTTATCTTGGATGCTTACCTGAGAATGCTTCAGATTTAAGAATGCCCGAATAGAGTTATTCAATATTTTATTTCATGCAAGCACAGTATTATGTGGATGGTATGTATTTTCTGGATAAATGCTTGGCTATATCTTCCAGATTTCTAATCATAGCAAAGTAAAAATAGGAAAATAGAAACAGGCATGTTTCAGGCAAGTATCCTTTTTATCCCTTCCTATTGGAGGCTGCAGTGGTTTGAAGTCTAACTGATCTAACCAGTATGTTTTGGGGAGTATAGCCTATAGAATCTGTCTAATATTTACATATAAAGGAAAGAGATGGAGGAGATTGTTATAAATGTATCCCCAACACCAAGATGAGTTTGATAGGCCTTTCTATTAGTCTTATTTATGACCAACACTCTTTTCCCCATTAGAACTATGATTCCATTTTAGTCTGTTGAGATAACACAGATGGAAAATGATCACTCACAAAAAGCACGCGAGGATTTATGCAAGGATGGTCTCAGGAAGCAATTTGTCAAGGACCATCCATAAAACTCATAAAAAAATTCTTATGTAGTATCCCATCTCAGTAATTCCATTATTTTATTGTTCAGAGTTATAATATCTGTTTTGTAAGCATAAATCAGACTAGTTCAACAGCAAATCACATTAGCAATTAATCTTGACAAACATCAGGCTATGAATGGTGATGGCTTCTTCTTTCATATAGGGATACTTTACTTTAATAATGTGGAGAAACATTTGGTAGTCCATCACTCAAACTATATTAATCAGGCAGTAATCAGAGTTGTTTGACTGCAAGATGGGCAGCTTATAAATTTAATAAATAAATACATTTTGCATGACATACTTTAAGGATGCAGAACTCCAGTCTTTTTCATCATTTAAATTGCCCTGCTGTATCTAGCTGTTGTAGCCAGTTTTGAGCTGGATTTTCTCTCTACAAAGGGTTTTCTCAGTGTTGAGGCATGAATTAGTTCTCTTACCAAACCATGCAATAAAATACTAACTTCATTTTAATAAAGAGATATACAACTGCAGAAGGACTGTAATTCCCATCCTGTCTCACCATTCAGTATTGACCATGTAATTTAAGATTGGGCTTAGGGTTGATGAAAGCAGGAAGCCATTTATTAGTCATTCCTGATTTAGGATCACAGACTTGAAAATATATTGGAGATCATCTAATCAAGCCTGCTGCTCAATACTTATCTGCAGTATAAAATATAGCTGCAACTTCCTTGGCAGAGTCTACCATTTGCAAGGCCATTTTCTTATGTTGAAAAATATTTCCTGTACTATTTCCAACTGCTATTTTTAGTCCTGCCCTTTACAGCAATAAAGAGCAAGTTGCTCCATTTTCTACATGACAGTTTTCAGATATTTGCAGATCCCTATAACCTGAATCCTTTTCTCTGGCCTAATCATATTGTGGATGTATGTTTTTACAGGCATACAAGAATAGGTACTCGTAAATTCCCTGAAGAATTGCAGAAGGCCCCAGAAGATGTATGAAAAGTTAGTGTTATGAATCACATCTCTAATTACTAATGAATTCATATCGCATAAAAGGCATAAGGATTAGTGATGGACTGGATTCTTTACATGTTGTGGACCCAGTTTTGACTTCTGGTATTTACAATGCCCGAGACCCTGGCAAGCTGTCAAACAGAAGACAACACATGGCTGAATTGGATTTAACCCAGCTTCCTAAGAACAGAAACCATCTGGTTGTTTTGTTTACATTTTTTCCCTTTAAAAGCCAAAGAACTGAAGGCTTTTATTATGTCCATGACCTCTATCTCTATGAAATGAGCATGTTCCAAATTAAAACAGTCAACATTTATGCAATCTACAGTTTATGAAATAATACTCAGATTCTATTAAATTAGAATTTCCAGTTCTTCTTATCACTCTGTTATTCATATCTGAGCAAACATTGATTTCAACATCCAAGATTTCAGATAGAAAATTGTTGTGGTTATTAGTGTGGGATATCTAGATGCATCAGGGATTGAGATTTACAACCCTCAAGACATTATTTTTTAAGTAAACAGGAACTATGGTAAGGACGACTACTAAAAGGCAATTAAATTTCACAACACATTTTCATTTAGGCCCTCCAGTCATAGTAAGAACAGTTCAAGATTCACAAATGGAAGTTGTGACAAACTGTAAGGAGAACAAACACTTTCCTTTGCTGTGACTATTTTGCCCCAATTTTTATCAAGGAAGACTGCCAATAGCAGAAGATAGCAAGAGAGCTTTTCTTCTCTCTAACCTCTGCAAGTCTAGAACCTCACTTGGATAGATCCTTGCAAAAACTGTGTGTTTTTTCTTTGCAACTTTATTTTTCATTCTTGTTCTTCGTAAAGGGCCTTTCTAGTCACAGGATAGGTCATCCTTGAGAAACTAATTGGTTGTGTTTTCTCTGTCTCTTTCCCTCTCTTCCCTTATGTATTTCTGTGCCTTTTTTTTTTTTTTTTTGGCTTCCAGAGAAACACAGGTCTACTAATACCTTCCGTTTTCTTTTATGGCGCTATTTACCATTAAACATGGAAGATGAAATTGGCTGATATAAAACACTATCTTTTGTTTCTCTGATTGGATTAAATGAAACTGAATGCAAAAAATAATGATGTGCCTTAAGCCAAAACAACATACCTTGATAAATAAACTTTTTGAAAATGATCTCCCCAAAACAGGGCACTTCAGTTTTGAAGCAAAAGCATAATGGAGACCTACTTATGTATTTATATCATGCTCCTTGTTGAGGGCCTTACACTTGCTTTTACAGGGATACAGTATTGCAAGGGAAGTGAGATCTCTGTTTTCATCCAGTTTCTTTAGGAAATTAGAAAATATTAGAATATTAGATAGAACTTATTCTATCTGGGGTACCCATCCTTTTTATAGTGCGCCTTGAAAGGTGTGGAATCTGCAGTTTCTCAGGAGTACTGTGTGGTGCTGATAATTTGTAAAGTTTTTGTGTCTATAATGCCCTTCTCTTCCTTCTCTGTGCTCTCTTGATCATCCTTCTGTGTTGTTCTGTCTCCATCTTTTCTGACTAACCTGGATGTCAACACACGGTAGGTCCAATTCAAATGTCAACTCCCTTTGAGGCACAAAAGGGACAAGGGAAGAGAGTTTATGGGAATTAGTCAACAGTGGGCCCACATTCCATACTTAGACTTTGTATAAATTATATAGTTAAACTTAACGTTATACTTTAACTGAGAAAGATTTTTTTTAAAAAAATCTTTAATTTCTAGCTAAAAAAAATATAATTAGCTAATCAGAATGAGGTCCAATCCAAATACAAGGTGCACTAACTGAAATAGATAAAATCTTTTATTTGGTTATCTGTATATCTCATCAAAGCTGAAGCTCTGCCTGAGTTAAGTTCATGGAAGAAGCATCAAAAAGGCTTCTCAGTGACACTATGAAGGTCTAGGTATGACAAGTAAAATATTGAAAGAGTTATCCAGCATTATTGGCCTGTACATGCTTGTGAAACATTCTGGAAACACTACCATATTGAGAATAGAGATTAGTATTTATTTAACCAACCTTAATAACATGTAATTTAGAAGTATGAGAAAGAATAATGAATGTGTGCTTTGAATAACCCGCATGCATATGCATGTATAAGTGTTTGAATCTTTTTAAAAATTAAGAAAGAAATCATTGGGGTTATTTAAGATTTCCATTTATTTGGCAATCCCTTCAATGAATTTTTTTATGGGCAGTGTATATGTAAACTGCTTTGTCTGCCTTGGCTACTCCATTTCTCATAGATTTCTCATTAGACATTGGTGGTCATTTGCTAACATACAATAGCTGTTACACAAGCCTGGCTTCTTCCAGGATATGGATACATTTGACCATGTTGGCTGAGGAACCCAGGAAATTGCCCACTAAAATATTTAGTAGCTGCTAGACAGGAGAAAGCAGAATTACACTAATACCACTGCTGCAGCGCTTTCCCTGAAAAAAATGTAGAATTCACAATTGCTGATTAGATAAGAATTTAGGAGTCAATTATATGTAAGATAATGTTTGCCTTTAAAAAAAACCATTGAAGTATTCAAGTATTCACTAAATCTGTCAACAAAGAAGAAATAGATTCTCTGTGCATTTGAAATGTGTATGAGAGGAATAAAAAAGTTGCATGTTAGTTTTCTAAATTAAAGTTATGAAGAAACTCAGTTCCCCCTCCACTTTTCATTTGGCCTGGAAATCCATGCTCCTATTGCTATGGTAAATCTGAGTTTCTATACTAACATAAGGTATCGTGTACGTGTGTGTGTGCGCCTTCATGCATAGTCACTCTTTATGGAATCACGTGTTCCTGTTTCTTTTCTAGAACAAACAGGATGATGATGATGATGGAGATGGCGATGAGGAGGGAGAAGAGGAAGAGGAAAAGGAGCCAGAGAATCTGGGCAAGCTGCAGTTCTCCCTAGATTATGATTTTCAGGCTAACCAGGTAACGTATACACATTAATAAATGTAAATAAGAGAAATTTCATTCCAACCTCCTCCACTGGGAGTGATAATGAGGACTGAAGTTTTAAAATTCTTAAGAAAATAGACTTGGAATTGCTGCCAGGCCTTGAGTAGCTCTAGACCAGCTTGAAAATAGCACTAATAATGCAGGAATCAGCCTGATGGCGGGAAGGAGTATGGAGACCCAGAGAAGAGTAGTGCGCAGAGATATTGATTTGAAGCATTAATTGCTTTCTCTGAGTACTGGAAGCTGAGTACTGGAAGTCTGTTTTTAGAGTTCCTTATTAGGTAAACTCCTAGGGTGTGCTGACAACTTTTATGCAGTTACCTGTGACAAATATTCATCATACATAAAAGGTACTAAGGTTCTACATCTTGTTATCTTAGCAGGTAAACAATAGCTCAGTGCTGAATATAAGCATCAGATTGCCACGATTTTTAATTTATTGTTTTTATTCTATTTCAAATTCCATTTCTTTCTTTTTAAGGACTGAGTATATGTACTTTTGATAGTGCTGTGACCATAATATCATGAAAGAGATACCTGCTGACATTTCTCTATCTAGAAGGCAAATTCCTAGGAATTCTTGATAGAGCAGGTGAATGGCTTACCGGAATATTTCTAAACTGCAATTTGCACAAATCATGAGATATTAGAATAAATTTTCCATTTGTCCTAATCATTAATCATATGCATTTCTTTAAATGAAGTTCAATTTAGCATTAACAGCTCCATCCCCTTCCCCCAAATAACAGAAAAGAGGATTAGGATCCAGATAGTAATATAAATGAGATGTACAGAAGGACTAAATCAGCTAGTTTCCCACTTTGATTGGAACATGCTATTTCAAACCTTTTTTTAAAATTTCTTTCCCAACAGCTCACAGTTGGAATCCTCCAAGCAGCTGAACTTCCGGCATTGGACATTGGAGGTACGTCTGATCCTTATGTCAAAGTCTTCATACTTCCAGACAAAAAGAAGAAGTTTGAGACCAAAGTACAAAAGAAGACCCTCAATCCAACATATAATGAGACTTTTGTCTTTAAGGTAAGATTTCTAACCTGGATATTCTTTGCTTGGTTAGTATGTTGGCCTAGTTATTTTGCCTTCAAAATAATTTGTATACATCAGTGATCAATACCCAGCCTCACCCCAAATGGAACTCAAAAGGGGAAGACTGGTCCTGAAATTCTAAAGCTTAAGGTAGCAAAACTAATACTTGAAACCATATTAAACAATAGAACAGTATTTCTATAATAGCCTACCAATAAATGAGAAAGAGTACTGAAACTTAATGGAGAAAAAGAGTAAGAAGGTTGATTGAAAATTTAATAGCAAGAATTAAAATGGCTAGCAGGGCTCAACACTGCCAGGATACTGAAAAAGCTGACTAAACAATTCGTGACTCTAGCAATTATGTCTTAGGAAATAGACGTTAGTAGCACTGTGATTAAATTCTCTAAAAAGTTTAGTTTTATGCATTATGCTGTCAATTATATGCTGTATGCCAATATACATGTTAGTAGCACTGTAATTAAATTCTCTAAAAAGTTTTGTTTTATGCATTATTGTATGCCAATGCATGTGATAGTGCTGTGATTAGTTATCTAAAAAATTTAGTTTCATGCATTTTACGCAGTTCATTTTGAAGAAGAAATCTCATTTGCTTCACTCAAGAAAAAATGCTACCAGTTTGTCTTGACAAAGCAGTTCAGGTGGCCTCTAAATTCTGTAGGGTAATGTTTTGGAATATGGACATAATATAAAGACGGACATAATACTTGTCAAGGCTAATACTGAAAGCTCTTCAGCCTTTACCTTTGAAAAATACTACTCTTCTCTAGTTAGTGATGGGAGTGAGACATGCTAGCTAGGAAATTCTCCAAGACATCGTGGCTAGAAGAACTGCCTGCCTGCCTGCCTACCTACCTCCTAGTGCCCAGAAGCTTCACTTTGCCTTAGAAGCAAGGATGCCTCTATTACTTCATCAAACAGTTTTGAATTGTGTCTGAACCTTCATTGACATAAACACTCCTTTTGAAGTTTCATACACTCCTCTAAGCATGTGAGACTATAAGCAATATTATGTTAGTATGACTTTCAGCTAAATAGAAAGTGGGCAGATCCATTTTTTCCACTATTTAATATGAATGGTCTTTAGACCATTCATTAACAGCTACGAGTCTTTTTTATTACTCGGAGAATAAATGGAATTTTAAAAATCCAGATATTAAGTAGTTTGTGCATTTTTCTCCTTGTATTGCAAATTTTTAGTCCATTTTATTAAGCTGATTCTCATGTTTACTCAATTTACTTTAATTATTTTTATTTGTAATTAGTAATCAGATTTTAATCATAATGCTTTCCTCCTTTAAAATTCAAAATATTTTGAAGACAATATATTATTTAAAACAGCAAATTAAAATCAATAGCAAAATAAGAAATAACTTGAGGCAAAATAAGCATCAAGTCAAGCCAAAGGAGAACAACCATTCTTTCTACACAAAAAGGTCTGATCATTTTTGTAAGGCTTTTAGATGCAGGGACATGGCTTAAAGTGCCCCTTTAAAGAGTAGTTTAAAGAAAACACTTTATCAGTTTATCTTGAAAGGTAATGTGATACTCTTGAATCTTAAAAATTGAATGGTACTCTAAAGGGGAGCTTCCACCCTAAAACTAATGAATAAGTACTTTAGTCTACCATTATTTCATAATAGTGAATATACTTGAAATTAAAGCAAGTGAACCAAAGCCACTTGCTTCTAGTTTTTGAAAAGTTGTTCTTTTCTTGGTACAAACGTGGCTGACCATTTTTGATCCTAGAATCAGAATGTGAATGTCAATTTAGAAACACTGGATCTTTTTGTAATCTTCTAAGCATTTGTACTTTGCTTTCATTGTTTTCTTCCTCTTTTGCAAGGGCATTAATCAAATTTCATGAAATTAGGCAGCCTATATCACTAGATTAGATGAACAGAGTCTCTTCTCTATTTATTTGTTGTCATCTAGTGGAGATCCAGGTTTTTTGCTCCCAAGGTAGGTTATGGCTAGACAAGATCTTTCTAAAAGGTTCATCACTGTTTCCTTTCAAATGCTAGAAATGCTATATTACTGAAAAAGTTCCTTGACTTTGTTGTAACAGATTCCATACCAAGAGCTTGGTGGGAAGACTTTGGTGATGGCCATCTATGACTTTGACCGATTTTCTAAGCATGATATCATTGGGGAAGTCAAGGTACCCATGAATACTGTGGACTTAGGACAACCCATTGAAGAATGGAGGGATCTAGAGAGTGCAGAAAAAGAGGAAGTAAGTGTTTTTTCCACTTGCTGTTTGCGCTTCAGTTGTGAAATGTGGATTTAACATTTTCTGCAAAGAACCTAAAGGTGGTAAAGTTTGTGAAAGTCTTGTGGTCTTGGGAGAAGAGTTACAGATAACCAAACTTAGAAGCAAAAGTCCCTGCTAGCCAGAAGTCCCCATGCTTGGGTAGTTAAACCATGCATGATCTCTAACCAGTCTGCATCTTATCGCTCCGCTGTTAAGCTGTTAGGGAAGTGATGGGCCCATCCAGAAAACCCAGTTCTGGCTTATTGCTTTGTTTGTAGAAGAAGGCTTTGGATTTAAAATGTATTACATGTATAGCTATCTACTTTGTAGGGGAGGTTGTCCTCTAAAACTAACAATTTTATATAATAAGTTTTGTGGTACAGCTCCCATTAGCCCCAGTCAATATGATGATAAGGTAATCTAAAAAGGCATCTGTTTGTAGAGCACTTCTGGGAAACTAAGTAATCTGGTTGTATCCTATGTACCTGGCACAGGGAGGTTCACTTTTCCAGCCAAAGGAAGAGTAACAGAATCAACAGTAGACTGCTGGTCTCCCACACTTACCGTAAAAACTGCCCAAAAATAACACATTACAAATAAGATAGTTATATTTCTTTCTATCGCAGGCACAGATAATTTATAAGACACAGTAGGAGCTTTGAGTTCATTGTTTTCCCAATTTCCCTCAACAGCCAGAGAAACTGGGAGACATCTGTATCTCATTACGATATGTACCCACTGCTGGGAAATTGACTGTCTGCATACTGGAGGCCAAGAATTTGAAAAAGATGGATGTTGGAGGTCTTTCTGGTAAGTGAAAATCAACAAATACCCACTAGATGACACCTCTGAGCTATTCAGATATCTGTCAGTACAAATAGTTCTCCTTCAGGCATTCTCTAGTCAAAAAGACCATTAGAGAGTAGCAGAGATACAGAAACCTCAAATACTATTTGCCATCTAGTGTTTGCCGATGTATTTTTGTAGCCTGGTTAATATGCTTACTTTCTTTTGCAAAATCTTTGAGTACAAAGCTTCTTTAATTTTTTGATATGAAAACAGGCATCAGCATACGTGCTTGCCAGAGAATTTTCATGAATAGCAGCTAGATTCCAAGGTACAGAATGAACGTGGGCAAAAGGCTGAATGTGAAAGTAGCAACACCACTGGAGCTTCTTGCCCATCTGTATTTTAAATTACACCTCCAGTTTCTTATTGTAATTTTCTCAACAAGAGAAAGAATCCAAGCACATTCAGAACAGGCAAGACAGAAGGATATACAATCTCTGCCAATCAATAAACTTCATTTCTCCAAAACTCTTACAGTAGTAAAATTAACTAATATGTTAATGAAATATCTGGAAGCCAAAAACCAAGTTTGGAGAACACCAACAATGTAATATGCCAACCCTTAGCTACACATATTATCTACTTTTAAAATCATTCTGGCCAGATGTTTTAAAAGCTGAGAGAGCACAGAACAAATATGATTCTCCCAAAATGTACATTTGATAGCCTGCAAATGCAACAAATTAGTATGCCACAAAGATGGGCCTCAGATAGCAAGACATTTGAAGAAGAATCTTCCTGCAGATCTTAACCATCAAGTTTCATAGCGAGGAGGTAGTCTTTTAAAAAGTCAAACTTTAAATCATTGAAGACTTTAAAATAAAAACAAATATATTAAACCATGCTTGGTAAGCAATTGGCAATCAGTATAGAGGTTTCTGTATAGGCATCATAAGATACCATCTAAAATACTTAAAATAAAAAGCATAAAATACCAGTCAAAAGTGCAGCATTTTGCACCTGCTGCAACTTCTGAATATTTTTTAATGGAAGCATTTTACTCATAGATTCATGGGTCTTCTGGTCCAATGCCTCCACTGGAGCAAGAATCTTTATACCATGTCAGACAAATAGTTGTTCAATGTTTGCTTGTGAACATTCAGTGCTGGATTGCCCACAACGCCAGGGACAAGTTGTTCCATTCCTCTTAATAGCTATTATGGTTCTTGTTCTACTCTTGAACATTATCCACACCCTCTTCCTTATTGACAGTCTTTCAAGTATTGGAAAACTGCTTCTTGTTAAAGACTGTCAGATATGAGCTCTTGTCCTAGTCCTCATTCCTATTTCAGGAATGAAAGATGGAGTTGTAAGATCACTTTCTCCTTTTTGAACATGCAAAGATACTATTTTACTACCAAGGCAGAACTCTCATAATCTAGTAGAAGTAACTCTCACCAAAACTATAGTTTAAAATTATAGAATATGCAGGAAAAGCTGATTTCAGATGTTTGGCAACTAAGTACACAAAGTCTGGTTCTGAATGTCAGAACAAACCTAAGGTTTTTTTTCCCCTGAATCTATTGAATGGTGATTAAAAAACCTCTGTCCCTACAATGGACAGTCCTTGAATACCCTGTTCTCTATAGTCTTTTTATGAACCACATCTCTTACCACTGAAATCCATTTTGGACCTGTAAGGAAAATGGACTGTTTTTCTACATTTATTTTTTAAACAATAACATAAGGAAGAGTGCTGCTTTATATTGAATCCTAACAACTGTTATTTGACATTTTTTCTTATCACAAACTTGAATAAATAAATAAAATAAAAACATATTTAAACTAACTTTGTGTGTGGTCTGGTGACTCACTATCTGAATTCTTAGAGAATCTTGCAATCATGGGTTTGGAAGGTTTAAGGAACAATGGAACCTTTTGTCTTCTATGACTTAAAAATCATGTTAACAAAGTTTACATTATTTCTTTTCTGCTTTCCAGTATTCATGCAAAGAAAGATAAAAGGAAAATATTTTTAAGCAGAAAGATTGTTTTAAAAAGAAGTAAAGCAAAATTCTAACAAAGTAGGAAAGAAATAAAACACTATCCTGGATTAAAGCAAAGACTTAAAAAATAAGGAAACGGGGAAAGATAGGGCAAAACTCCACTCACTTGATTGTTTTCTTGCAGACATTTCATTACCCAAACAAAGTAACATCTGTAAATAGGCTAAATAAATAAATAGGGCTTCCCTGGAGATCTAGAGAACAAGTTGTATAGTGTAAATGTACTGAAGCTTGATGGAAAAATATATCATCATCATTACTTCAGAATCTTGCAGAAAACATAAGAACAGAAGCAGCGCCCTCCTGGATCAAAACTCTGGTCCATCTACTCCAGCAGCCTATTCTCACAATAACAAACCAACTACACAACAAGTGTCCCAGCAGAAGACTTCATATCCAGTCATTCTGCCATCAAGGTTAACAGCCATGAATACCCATGACTTCCATGAACTGGTCCAACCCTTTTTGAAATCAACCAAGCTGGCAGCCAGCACTATATCTTGTGGTAGCAAATTCCAAAGTCCACTAACATATTCCATTAAAACATTCTTTTCTCTATTCTGATTCTTGAAGGATTCAGCTTCATAGAGTGACCTCTGGTTCAAATACTTGGGGAAAAGGAAATTGTCCTTTCGTTCACTTTGTATATGACATCTACTCTCCGGATAGCCTGTGCTTGAGGTTTTGTCTATATCTTTGAGTGGCTTGTCTATGTATTTATCTAGTTTTAATTGTATATTCCTATGTTTCAGATCCCTATGTGAAAATTCATCTGCTGCAGAATGGCAAAAGGCTTAAGAAGAAGAAGACTACAGTCAAAAAGAAGACCCTGAACCCCTATTTCAATGAATCTTTCAGCTTTGAGATTCCCTTTGAGCAGATACAGGTTCCCATGTTTCTCATTTGAGGGTGTGGGATGATGCAGGCAGTTCCCAGAAAACTTTGGGTTGGCATATTTCTCCATTGTCTCTGACTGCTTCATAAAGCACAAGGGGCAGATCCATAATTTGACACAGGCAGTTCTCCATCAATGATGGTTGAACCTTGGAAGGGAAATGAGTTCAAATGGTGCATCCCCGATATCTTAAGTAACTTATCATCATGGCCATGACATCATCCAGACAGTTGGCCATGCTGGATGGAGATGGTGATAGCTGAAATCTGACATATCTAGAGGGTGTGTGTTTGTAGCAGTTCTTGATTCCCTTTCTCTTTATTCCTTCTCCTTCCTTTATGCCCCTTTAATAAAAGTTTACTTGGAATAAGATTGTACAGGGAACTTTTCAGCAGAGGAGGAGGGGGTTGAATATGAAACCACTGATCCTTATACACTATTCTAACTGTTGTATCAGACAGATCTTTTGTGGAGCTCAATAGGATAGAAATATTGTAAAGATTTAAGTTTAATTTATATATATTTCTGAAGTCGCTACTAACTTTATACTGGGGCCAAGGAAAGGAAATTGTATATTGCAATTCTGTTTTAAAACTTTAGTGTTTTCCACTTGGTTATGTCCAAGTCTGTGATCATGCTGGTTGGGAATTTGGAGAATTAATAGTCTTACCACATACAAAGGATTCAGATTGGGGAGGTTTAAGTTTTTATAAAGGAGAGGTAGGCAGGCAAGCAAGTGATTAGTTGGCTAGCTATTAAAGCCATTGCCAAACACACACACACATAATGTGTCTCATGTTCCTCTTGGATTTAAATCTGTACTCTGAAAATCAGCATGTAGAGGAACCTAGCTTTATCATGAAAATAATATTTCTTTTCTCTTTGGAGAAACATTGGCCTAGCTTCAGCCAGAAATGATAATTACATGAAGAATTCTTTCTACGTAAATGTTCTCATTGGAGGTTTTCTTAATACTCTAAATATTTAATTTTATTAATTTAGTAAATGAGCTATAACATGTATTATTCACTTTTTAATATAGTCATAGTGTGGGGAACAAAATAAGATTAAAATAATAAAATTAGAGCAAGTGACTAGAATGATAACATTAAACCAACAGATTAAAATATTAAAACCAGAATGACAACAGCAACCAGGAATAAAGCAGCATCAATTCATGTAAAAGTTTGGATGAACAAATACATGTTTTCTAGTATCAGCCACAACTGAGAAAATACTAGATTATATTTTCAAGATCCTCTCCTCTTTGCCCATGAATTATATCATAGATCTTACTAGCCAGCAGTGTGCTGCAGCTGCCAAAAAAGCCAAAGCACTCCTGGGCTGCATTAATAAAGGGATAGAATCAAGATCACATGAAGTATTAATACCACTCTATAATGCCTTGGTAAGGCCATACTTAGAATATTGCATCCAGTTTTGGTCACTACAATATAAAAAAGATGTTGAGACTGTAGAAAGAGTGCAGAGAAGAACAACAAAGATGATTAAGGAACTGAAGGTAAAACATACGAAGAACAGTTGCAGGAATTGGGTATGAATGAAAAGAATGGACAAGGGGTAATAAGATAGCAATGTTCCAATATCTAAAGGGCTATCACAAAGAACAGGGGGTCTACCTATTCTCCAAAGCTCCTGAAGCAATAAGGATAAGAAGCAATGGATGGAAACTAATCAAGGAGAGAAGCAACCTAGAAATAAGGAGAAATTTCCTGACAGAACAATTAATCAGTGGAATGGCTTGCCTCCAGAAGTTGCAAGTGCTCCATCACTGGAGATTTTTAAAGAGATTAGACAATCATTTGTCTGAAATGGTATAGGAACTCCTGCTTGAGCAAGGACCTGGACTAGAAGGCTTCCAAGGTCCCTTCCAACTCTGTTATTCTGTTATTTTGTTAATTTGGCTTACTAACCATCTCTGTTTTCTTGCTTCTCTCCAGAAAGTGCAAGTTGTAATTACTGTTCTGGATTATGACAAGTTGGGAAAGAATGAAGCTATTGGAAAAGTCTTTGTTGGCAACAATGCTTCAGGCACAGAGCTCAGGCACTGGTCTGACATGCTGGCCAACCCTCGCCGCCCCATTGCCCAGTGGCACTCCTTGAAACCTGAAGAAGAGGTGGATGCAGCTCTTGGAAAAAACAAATAGGCAGCTCCATTTTCCAACATCACCTAATGAACATTCAAAGTGATCCAGAGCTATCAATACCTCAGTTAGGCAACATTTAATTTTTGTTCTCTTTTCTAAGCTGCAACACTCTTTCTTTGATGGCTGCAAGGGAATCCGGATGAACTCAAGAGTATCCAGGAGGAAGTGGTTTAAAATCATGGTGGTTCCTTCTTTTCTCATTCTTCCAAGTAGTTGGTTTGCTGCATGTTCCACCATCTCTCTGTGTATTTTCTCTTCAAGTGTACAGCAAGCTTTTTACTTGGGTCTTCCTGACACCACCACAAATAACCGCACAAAGCAGCTTTGCTTTTGCTTGTTTTGGGAGTTTCCTCCTTAAATGAGACCTTGTGCTACAGGATGATACCAGAGCCTGAAAATGTGAGATGACCAGATAACACTGTGCTTGCTTTGGAAAAAAAAAAAAGCAAGGTGTATGAAAAGGCGCTCCTGCAAAACTGTGTTCAGTGAGGTTTGGCCATTAGCCATCTATCAGGAATATTCAGGAAAAGCAATACTGGCACTGGGACATCTCTGAAGATGTGGATAGGTAGTGGATTAATTCTCTGTAATAAGAGGACTAAGGTTTGAAACATACAAGTTGCCAAATGATAATTGCCTGTACCAATAGCTATCTAATATAGTGGGTCTTCTGTTAACCTTTAAATTTTCTGTTCTTAATTAGAACAATGGAGCAGTACCAGGAGATCACTGGAGCATGAAATCTACAAATGCATGCTTCTGTGGAAGACAGAGTGCAAAAATGTCCTTTTTCTTGGGGAAAGAAAAGCCAAACATTGTGGGATATTTATGCCAGGCTTCACAAGCTATCAATTTATGTGAAGATTTCAATTTTTCTAAGATAGTCATCTAATTGGTAGCAGTGCCAAGCTTAGATGCATCAGAAAAAGTTATGTCAAGAGTCTCAGGCAGCTTTGCAAATCTGATAAAAATGATAGGCCTCGGTTGATTTGCAGACATTTGCTATCATGCCTTGTTACTGCCATTCTTCTTTTAAAACCACAAATCTGTTGAGTGCTACAGATTAATTAGTGGAAAATGTTTATTTTTATGAATTTAGAACTTAAATGATGTGAAAAAAATGCTTGAGACTGAGGATTGTGTTTTTCTAATGCTGAAGAGTAGGAAATTTTAGATGGGTGATGGGTTAGAAACAGCAGGAAGGTCCATCTAGTGGCTAGTAGAGTGCAATAAGTATCTTAAGAAAGCTTAATTTAGAAAAAAAAAAGTACTATCGGTTGGGAATTCCCCCCTCCTCTCCCCATTGCCCCCCCCACCAGTCACATTTAATTAAGGGAGCAAAGCCAGAAATTAGTGGGAAAGTGAATCCATTCCAATCAAAAGACCAAAGATACATCAAAAGCAACAGGGCCTTCTCTTGTCTGGTTGCCAAAGCATTCATGATTTCTTTGCTAATCCCAGAAAGTCAAGCCATATTATCTTTGTTACCAAGTGCTTGCATTGATTTCTGACCTCCCCTCCCCCCAGCTTTTGTTTTTAATATAGTGCCAGATACAGATACCTTTTCAGACTGATGGTAATGGAAAGAGGTTAAATGGGGGCTAGAAACTAAGATATAGAAATAAAAGCTTCTTTTTAGAGTTTAATATAGAATTAGGAGTTAATGAAAAGAGGGTGAAACATCAAAACCATGAGTCTGGGAAAGTTTGAGAGAGTAGCTGTTCTATCAGTGACCACTGAATTGCTTTCATCTGGAATATCCCTGGGGAATAATTGATTGGGGTTGATAGAAGTAAAAGAATGGTTTCCAGTTATGAGGCTGAGTGAGCAGAGCTCAGACTTGTGTCTGACTTGTGTGTAAGTATAGATACAATAGGAACAGATTTTTAAATCAGACAGTTTTAAGAGGAGAGAGAAACAAGAAATCTAAGGTTCCAGTGTATTCAGCAGTTTTTCTTCTGGCTGTACCTATTTGTCTTGTATCTGGTCCTAAATTCTAACTTTAACCATCTGCCAGCATTGCCTTCAAGGATATTAGTTGCTTGGTCTTTGTGCTAGTTGTGTTCCCCGTAAGGGATCAGGGCCTAACAAAAAGCAGGTTGCTAATACACAAAGCATTCCATTCTGGTTCCTCACTGAGGAATATATTCAAAGAATAGTTTGTTTCTCACCGCCTCTTATGTTAAAATAGAAAAAAACCTTCCAAGTGAGGTCATCTTTATAATTGCTGCATCATTTAGGCTGCAAATAAGGACCAAAGTAATCAAAGGACCACTTATAACTAAAATGTAAACAAATCAAACTAAGAACCCATGTCTGAAGGTGAAGTCAGAAGGATTTTTGAGGTTCCTGTGTGAGATCTCTAAGGATAAGAATTAATGCAAATGATAGACAGATCGATACAGATGAAAATTGCACAATTTGAGTTCAGACAGTTGATTCTAGTTCTTAAAGCATTTCATTCAATTTGTTGTAAGCATTCTTCTTTCTTTTCTACCTATTTTCACCTGATTAACTCACTGTACAATTAGTGAGGAGGGAGAAACATTACTACCTGCTTAAATGCTTCAAAATAAGCTGCCTTGGTATACCCAAGCAAAGAGAGAAGACAGTTGAAAGCTTTCTGTATGCTCTCCCCAAATTCCCTTCCTTGTTTAATTACATCTGAATAGCTATAATTTTACCTTGCTTCAGTGTGAGCTATCACACTTGGAACTTTGACCCTAACTACACAAAGGGACTATTGAAATTGTTCATCACTGGCTCTGAAGAAGTGTATGTAATTGTTTATATGCTTACTGAGAAAAATTAGACTTAATGGAACTTTTCTGTGGAAATAAGTTTGATGCAAGCTTATTCTACAAAGAAAAGGGGTAAGTGAAACGTGTGCCCAATTCCTTTATTGTGCCTCTTAGCTTTAAATACTGCCAGCTGGCAACAATATAAGATTTCAAGCATCATTAATGCATCCTGGTGAAGCTCTGAAATCAAATATGAGTTTTGGTTTAGACTGCATCTTCACTGATCTTGAGAGCAGAACTGCTCTAAGGTGAGAATGTTCTGAGAAAAGGATGAATCTCTTTCCACTAAAAGCAAAAGTTTGACAAGTAAGGTACCTTTCCTGGTGAGATTATAAACCACTGAGGGGATTGTTGTCATATCATGTCTAAGGTTAGCTGGAAGAAGGAAGGAATGGAATTTTGCTGATCATATTCTTGTTGGGTCTTCTGCTTTTCAGGGTAAGCAGAACTGAAATTAGGCATCATCTCTTTAAAACTGCTACGTATGAAACTGAGGGATTGAAGCAGTTCCTCTTAGAGCTGCCTATAGTTTGGATAGGGTCTGACAAACAAATTCTTATTTTTGCTGTAATCAATTAGAACAGTGATTTTCAAACTTGGCAACTTGAAGATGCATGGACTTCCACTCAAATTCTGGCAGTGGAAGTCCACACATGTTCAAGTTGCCAGGTTTAAGAAATACTGAACTAAAATATTGTCTCCAGAGACAATTGTCCTTTTGTCTTTCCTTTTTATCACCAGTGGGGACTGAAGAATCCTTTCCACAGCTACAGAATGTGGGATCAGTTTTGGTTTTGCATTCTCCATTGTTTGAGAGTAATGTTTGCTCTGAGTTGCAAAAACATCCCCAGGCCCCATCCTCATCATTCTGTCATTAATTCATTTCTTAGCTGCTTTTCAAGAGGTCATTATTTAAAGGCAGACATGTTAATAGGAAACATGTGCCATTTAAATGTGTTGATTTGTAACTCTGATCTGACCTGAAATGAACACTTTTTATAGAGCCCTCAAACTTCATATCCCTTTCTGGCTTGCTTGCTTGTTTGTACTTATATGTTGTATCCATTATAACTCACTCCTTCATTCATACTACAAAACAGATGCCTACCTGAACTGCTTAACTGCATTGGTGCTTATACCCCAGGATAGTGCTTCTACTCACATTGTTACTTCACATTTGATGGATACTTCTACCAGAAGAAAGACAAAAAAATGTGCTGAAAGCAAGGGTTCTGATAGACTTGGCTAGTTAATAATATATTGGATGCACATAGCAATTCATGTTAAAAGGTATATCTAGTCAGTTTGATTGACTCTAGCTGAACAATGGAAAGAAGATATCACTGAGGTGCAAGAAGGCTGCTGTACTCTCACTAGCTTAGAATAAACAGTTGAGTATCTTCATTTTTAATGGTTCATATGGCAAAATGGCTACTTCATCATGCATACCTGCTTTGGTTCCTTCTGCTAACCACCCAGGCCATCCTATCTGAAAGCAGGGAACTGGAAATATTAGTACTAATAAATCAAAACATAACCTTTTATTGAATACAGCTTCTATTTTTATGGTTTAAAATGGTTTAACAATCAGTGTAATATATTTTGTTGAGTTTCTTTTCTGTATAAAAGGGTTGAGAAAATGAATCAATTAAGCCATCTAAGCCTCATTCAAACCCCATCATTTGTGTGTTCTTATGTATAAAATGATTATAGAGATCTAATATTAACATAAATACAACCTTCTTATAAATGATGCATGACAACAAGCACAGTATTTAAGTAAAAGCATGCAAAAGCAAAACTCGTACAATATGTGGATTACCATTCATTTTCTAGAAATACAGCCAGGCTACAGAATTATTTTTAAAATGTGGTGTGAATGAATTTATTTTACCTAATGCAATAGAGGGCGATTGTAAAAAATCAGAGAATGATCGTAACAACATACATTTATTTTCAATAAAAAGTAATAATTTTTTAAAACAAAAAAAAGCAACAAAGCATGCTTGATCCATTAAAATATATACTCGGTGAAAGCAGGGAGGGGTGGGATAAGATTTAACACCAACAAGATGGCAGTAAGTTTGATCAGTGTCTTGTATAATTAATATTTGCAAAACTGGTGGCGTTTTTACTATGTTCAGATAGCCACAACACTGCAGCTTCAATGTTCTGTGTGGTGTCGAAACCTTCTACTGT